AAAAAAAAAAAAAAAAAAAAAAAAATAGCACTTTAGTTTACAGTATTCAAAATAAGCTATTGATATGACAACTGTTTTTAATATTTTACATTAAAATTTGAAAATAAAGATAAATGTATTTATCACAATAAAAAAAATAGTAATATCATTTATGCCTAACAATTTAATTGCTATCAATATTATAGTTTTATTTATCGAATACTAAAAAACTAAAAAAAAAAAAAACAGCAGATATACAGCAGTAATCGACAATGTTATTTCTTTTTTTTTTTTTTTTAATTGCTTTTAAGTAGCCTACAAAATATGAATACAAAATAAGATACATTAAACTAAAAAAAAAAAGTGTTTGATTTTTTCAATGAACATAGTTTAATGCTCTCTTTCCAATGTTTATTTTTGTTTCGAATTTCTCTAACTTTTTTTCCAATTTTTTTTTTTTTTTCTTGGTGGTTGTTGGTTAAATGTTGTTTTGGGAAGCTATAACTAAGATTAGAAGCTACTTTTTTTTTGTATGTTAATAGATACTGTAGATGAACAAATATCAACAACATACTCTCCTTCGTCTCTTCTTCTTCTTCTTCTTCTTCTTCTTCTTCTTCTTCCTTTTCATTTATTCATCTATTTGTTTGCTCATTTAGTCATCCACATCCTTCTCATTCAATCAGTTATTCTGTTCTACTTTTTTTTTCCTTCTTCTTCTTCTCATTGATGTTGATGTTATAAGATGGCTGTTGATGATGATGATTCTTCTGAATTTTAAAGATATAGTAAAATTTCTGGAACAATAACAACAACAACAACAGAAGAAGAAAAGGTGATGATTGATGACACGGTTAATATTGTCAATAAAACTACAGTTCTGTTCTTCTTCTTCTTCTTCTTCAACAGCACTCTGTTGTGAAATAGAGCCCAAACAAATTGAGCAAATAAATCTGTCAAAAATCTAAATCACTGCAATCAGTTTTTACTCATTTTTTTTTTTTTTACATCATTTACACCTTCTATTTTGTTGTTTATATTTACATTGTCGTAAAAAAGAAAAAAAAAAACTGTTAAGCGATCCGAAACAAAAAATTGCAAATAAAATAGAGCATTAAAGGTTGATATATATTTTTAGAGAGTCATTTTACCTGTTACTTGTTTTTTGTTTTTTTTTTTTTTAAAGCAATGTTTGTTGCTGTTGCTGATGATGATGATGATGGTGATCAATCTTAAGAATTCCTCTAAATTTCTTTAAATTTTTAAACAACTTTTTTTTTTCTCCTAACTTTAGTGTGTTATTAGAAAAGAAAAAATTGATGCGGCAAAATATATTCAGCAAAAAAAAAAAAAAAGTACTCAAGATTGAATGTTCAACTAAATAGTTTAGTAATTAAACTTTGTTTTTTTTTTTTATCTTGCTAATATTTGCTGTTACATTTGAAATATTGTCTTCTTTATTTTTTGGTATCAATAAACTAAAACTAAACCATAGGA